TTAATCGACTTTGGAAGGCTAGGGCCAAAATGTTGGCTTTCCTTGCGGCATTCCTTTTTCTCTAATTTTGGTCTGCAAACTTAGGTTCTTAACCATCCAGAAGACAAGCTTATTGTTATTACCATACCACTTAGGCTGTTAAACTTAACCTCACTATCTGTCTGAATCTCAAACATCGTAGGCATAATGTGGAACAGGTATTTTTCATCAAGTATTGATATGTTGAACTTTAAGTCCCTACAGAATATGATGAAAAAACATTTAAAAATTTGAATGTATTTTAAAACTAGGCATAAAGAATTATATACTTCTCATGTTTGCACATAAGTCCAAAAATGTAACCATATACAACCTTGAAGCAGGACAGTCCCACAGTATTCCTTTTCCTGTCTCTTGCTTTCATTCACCACCCCCTTCTTTTTGAACAATCACCTACCCGAGAGACAGCACAGCAGCAACTGGCATGTCATGACAAGCACCCCATATTCAGAAGACCAGAATGACAGGCACTCCAAACATGAAACTACTATTACAGATTACCATCTGCAGTGCAGTAGCTTAGTTCACATGTATCAGTATATATAGTTAGTCAGGGTGAGAATCTTTCCAATTAACTGCTAGATTAAAGAATCTTCTGAATATTCTCACGATCATTGCCTTGCCCATCTTCTATATATAACTGTATGGCTTGTCACTGTCATGATTCCTAGCTTGTCTCCTTTCCCTCTTTTAATTAGTTAGTCCTCAAGATCCTGCTTTCCTTTTACTTCTATTATACATTTCTGTTTATATTTCTTCTTTTGAGTTCTTATAGTAGGGAAACTACACGATATTTACACATGTGTGTCTGGTTTATTTCACTTACGAATATATGTTCAAGTGGCATCCACTTCAATATAATGGCTTCGAGTTTATCATTCTTTATAGCTGAAAATACTGCATTGTGTAAAAATACCACATCTTTCTCAACCATTCCTCAGGTGATGGGCATCTTGGCTGTTTTCAAGATTTGGCTATCACAAATTCTGCTGCTATAAGCTTAGGCACACATATGTCCCTATGATATGATGTTTTCAGATCTTCTGAGAAAATTCCCAGTAGAGGAATAGCTGCTTTAAATGGGATTTCCAGACCAACTTTTCTAAGGAGTCTCCATAGTGATTTCCATAACGGTTGCACCAGTCAACATTCCCACCAGCAGTGGAAAAGGGTACCTTTTTCCCCACAGCCTCTCCAACATTTGTTGTTGGGTGATTTCTTTAAGATGGCCTATCTTTCTGGGGTGAGATGATATCTCAGTGTTGTTTTAATTTGCATTTCATGAATGGCTAGCGATGTGGAACATTTTTTCATATATTTATTCATTTCTTTAATTTCATCCTCTGAGAAGTGTGTGCTCATCTCAGATGCCCATTTCTGGATTGGGTCTTTAAAATTTGGGGCCCTGGTGTTTTTTAGCTCTTTATAAATTCTAGAGAGCTGACCTTTGTCTGAGTACTTATTTTTCATGATTTTTTCCAAATTTGTAGGTTGTCTTTGCACTTTGTTGGTAATTTCTTTTGACATGAAAAAACTTCTCAGTAAGAGCAGGTCCCAGTTGTTAATTCTTTCAACTGTTTCCTGCGTGATTTGATTTTTGTTAATGAACTCTTTGCCTACCCCTATGTCTTCAAGAGTTCCTCCTACTTTCTCTTCCAGGAGATTTAGTGTCTCTGCTTTAAGGTTTAGATCTTTAATCCATTTTGACTTTAGTTTAGTGCATGGTGATAGACCCGGGTCAAATTTGAGTTTTCAGCATGTAGAGAGCCAGTTTTTCCAGCACCATTTGTTAAAGAGGCCATGTATCTTTCAGTGAGTATGTTTGGCCCCTTTGTCAAAGATAAGGTGGCTGAGTGTGTT